ATAGGCACCGTGTCTTTGGCAATGTTCAGTGCAATTGACTCCGGGACTGCCCCACACTGGCCTCTTTTATTTTCAAATGGAAAACAATGTGAAAATGATTTGATTCATGTTGTCTGTTTCTTAACGGGAATTAGAATCACAAGTCACTTTTTAGAAAAATGGCGGCTGGAATAGTTGCTAAATATAGCAACCATATCCCGAAATTGGCAACACTGAGTGTGCTTTCGTAAACTAGCTCCTCTCTGTCTGCAGTCATGTCGTTAGTTGAAGCAGTGCATGACAAGTACGATGATGGATCAATCCTAAATTTAATTCAATGTTTTCTGATTAAGTTCATATCCATGAAACAGTTCATAAATATGAAGGATGAAACGTTTTTCAAAAAATCAATAAATCATTTCGTTAGATTATGAGGTGGTGTTTGGGGGGAAAAAACTGGACCTAAAAAGTTTGAGAACCCCTGTGCTTGTTAGTATTTTAAAATAGATGTAAAATTTTATAATGACTCCTGATGCATTATATTTACATAATTCATAACACAACATGAAAGGGTGCTAGAAAGTAAGAGACAACACTGATTTTCTTATGTGTCGCCAATTTAAACAATTGATGCCTCCTCAGATGGAAAAAAAAGAGACTGCTTTCAAGAACAGTGAAATTCAATTCATATGCATGCAAGTAAATTGACATGGAACTGTCTCTAATTTAACATACAGAGCGGGAAGTGTGACACTTCAATGCCCATTCACTAATTAGTACATTTCAAAAGCATTTCTTTCTTCTGGAACGCCAGCTTGAACTGATACTGAACCTGTTCATGAAATGACAGGAGGACTGGGGTAGGTTGGCTTTGTTGATGGCGCAGCATCCGGAGGCGAGACTCACGAGTCAGCGTTTTACATCCCGCCGGCACTTCTACCTTTTCCTACCGTGACTCACCACAGCGGTCAGGCCGCATTAATATATGAGGACGGACGCCTCGCATTTGAGCCCCTTGCGCCCGTTTCAAAACCAAAGTCACACGCATAGAGACACACATTGCCAAGCAAATTATAGCAGCCGGCCTGACAAGAAGAGAGAAGCACCACGAGACAATAAAAGCACTCTGCCTAAAAATAACTCTCGTGTACGGACATTTGCATTTATACTACAAAGGAAGCAGCCACGTCCCCCCCTCCCCAAAAAATGATCTCGCCGACTTAAATTGTTCTTGTCTGTGGCTTTGTGGAGAGTCACCATCATCGCTAAACAGTTCTGTCTAGCAGATGAGGCAAAACGAAGCGCACTATTTGGCCGCAACCAGCACAGGCGCTGTTGATTAAGTCTCAATGAGTTTGCTGTCCAAAGAAGTACAGCAAATCCACAGCTATTCGCTGTAAAGTATGCACAGTTTCGCCTCCAGTCATACCTCAACTTACAAGTGATCCAAGTTACAAGTTTTTCAAAATCCGAGCTACTGCTTGGTCGATGTTTGACACACTGAGTTGCTCATCACATTCAAGTCTCACAATAATCCACAACAGTATTCTGAGATTTGTTTTGATTCCAGTCAGAAAATTCTGATTTGCTGATTGCGTTTCCATGCCTACTCGAATCACAATTCAAATCAACACTTTGTGCACACAGCCTGAGCAGAGAGTGAAAAAGTCTTCCCCAAAGAAGTGCTCGCTTCAAGTTGTTTATTAGCGCTCTCAGTTGAAGTCTACTGTACAAGGAGAAAGCCAAAGGATCCACAACATGAAAGTGAAAACTCCACACAGGCAAAAGAGAGCTAAGATTCGAACCTTGAATCGCAGAACTGTGAAGCCACTCATCCATGCCGCCCTTGAATCAAGGAGTGAAAAACCAGTTAAAAAAATCCCTGCAGCTAAGCTGCCCTGTTCAACAAGAAACTGTAAAGTAGTCAAGTGCACAATGCGCATGTTCAGACACCCACGGGAGTCCAACTCCAGGCAGGAGGGAGCCTCATAAAAATATGTCCAACTCAGGGTTGGAGGTTTTGGGGGCCCTGCTTTACGCTGCATACCAACATAACTGAGAAGGAGGCTGCAAGTACTGCTCATATGCCAGTGTTGAAAATACTTTATGTACTTAAGGAATTTTCAGGTACTTTTCTCGAGCATTTAGTTTTCTGATGACCCTTTTGCTTTGACTACCTACATGTAAAAACGGAAATCTACACTTTCAACTTTGTCAAAATAGTCTTGTTATTGTTTCATTCTCTGTGCAGTGGCGGTGGGGAGGGGGAGGGGTCAATTGCCAGAGTAATCGATTCCAAAAAAATTTGTTTGTGATATGAATAAAGCTGCAAAATCCACCCTTTTTTATCCATCTCGGGGGGGGGGGGGGGGGTGGCCATTTTGCAATTGTTGTCGACTAAAATGATGTAACAGTTGCTTTGGGCTCAGGTCAAGACCAATCATGGCTCAGTTTGTAAAGGTCACGTGACCAAACTCAGAAAACAGGTGAGCCATGATTGTTTGTTACCTGAGCAACTCTGATGTTATTTTCAGTTGACAGCAAGTGGCAAAATGGCCACCCCGTTAGAAATATAAAAAAAGGTGGATTTTGCTACTTAATTAATTGTCCGCAAACACATTATTCATCAGAATCTCCTGCTTTGGCTAGTGGGGGTGAGTTGAACTTATTATTACAAAGAAAATTTTGGACTTGACTTCACCTTTAAGTTATATTTGAGTACTGTAGTAGATGTGAGCATTAATGATAAATTTGGGTGAAGCTCGACAAATATTAATGTCTGCCTGGTGATCTTAATGTGCTGTCAGCTGTGTAAACAAAGAAATTTAAGACCATTTCTTGTGCCTAAATTTTGATATATTTTTA